TATTCCCTACTAACCCCAGTAAGCATTTTGGCAGGTCCGGAGAGAAGTACTGGTGGCTCCAGGGCCAGGTTTTGCGGGCTTTGCTAACCAACTCCGACATCCTGAAACCCCAAAACCTGTGGCCCACATAAACCCAGTGTCCATATCATATAGACCCCAAAATATTATAGTCCTTACTATGGGAACCCCAAGAAGCCTAATCCCTGCAAACCACTACATAACCCCAGTTTCCATGTAATTGTCGATGGACTTTTCCATTTAAAGCGCTAAACTTTACTGTAAACCCTCTCTTCTTGCACCTGGGTCCTGCGATGTTGCATTTGATTCTGTATTGGTGGATCAAACATCCAGGAACTCCCCGAGCTCTCGCCTGAAACTCTGTCTTGCCGAACATGTAGCGAAACGGCTTGTCCGTGGATCCCTGGTATTTCTGCTCGCCCACCATCCACCTCAGCCACACAGTTTAGAGTTTGGGGTTTGGAAGCGATCCAGAGCGTTAAAGAAGATCGCGATGGTATCTCTGGCTGCCAAAGATCCAGAAAGTGCGTTCCTTCTGAGTTTGCTTTCTCCGCCCCTCCATTGCTAGCTTCATCCAACAAAGTCGACTTTTGGCTATTTATGAAAAGCTACTTGGAGGGTCAGAGGACTTAGTAGCTTCATAACCCCTGGTCTCCTAGCTATTAACCTAAGCTTACAGACAGGTACCTACTCTATCCTTCCCGAAAAACCACTTCCTGCAGTCTATGTTTGAGGCGGCTCCTGGACCTGTAGTCCCCATTAAGGAGATAGAATATGGGGTATGCGAGGATCTTATTATGGTTTTGGGGAAGTCCATATTCGATTTACTCGAGGCGGACTGAACACATTATTGCAACTCAAAGAAAAGGAGAGCCGTGCAGCAGTAATGGCAATACCATAATGACAATGACAATGATTTACCACAAATGTACCCGAGCCTTAATCTCAGAGTTCTGAGGCAAACGGTAGAAAACCGAAGACTCCAGAAAGTCACAGTCCCGACATGAACAACATTTTCACACTCCTAGGTTACTTCTTGCAAGCCATGACCCTTGCCTTCTTCCCTGGGTTTCTTGATGGAGGTCAAATTTGCTTGCAAGCACGTGTGCAAGGTGATAACCATGAAAAAATCAACAGAAAACACCTTTCCAGGACCCTGCAAATCGGAAATCTGAGTAAAAGCATTCAAAAAAATCCGTACAGTGGTGTTGCGACCCCGTAATTGTGCAAAAAAATGCCAAGACAGGGCGTGCTGCGCGCTCCAGCCGCGCTCGAGCTTGATGAGCCACTCGCCCTCAACGGTCACGGCCATGTTCGGAGATGAGGAGGAAGCTTTCAGGAGGCTTGCCAGCTGAGGAACCCTTGCAATGTGCTTGAGCATAGCAGCGAATGTGGCATGCAATCACACAACTGAGGCATTCAAGAAGCAGAGAATCCGGTAGCTATGTGAGCTATAGTCTATACTCCTTAAAAAGGGGCGTTGTATAGGGGATAATATAGGGGACTACTATAGGGCTTATTAAGGGGTATACTAGGAGTTCAGACAATGGCTCATGTATTGTCAGGGTTCTGAGTCCCGCAGGATACGCGCAAAACTAACTTTGCTTGGCTGACTCAAGCTGTGTTGCGGCCCCTCAAAACCTCTGCGCGTACCCTGGATTTTTCACGGTTTGTGCAGGACTCCTGCCTTTATAAGCCCATGCCCCTAATATTCAAACCCCCGATCCACAACATTAAACATGCCCTATAATTTGAAACAGAACACAATGGGAATACTCAACATTGGTCAAGGGGCTTAATATTAGGGGAGAGGATTACTATGGCCGAATTTCCACTGCGCAATGGACTTGAGAAAGCCTCCTTTTTTCACGGCGGACTCACGACGCAGCCAAGATGGACCGCCCCAAACCCAAACCATTCGTGCGCTTGCTCTTTGCGGCAAAGGTCCTGTAGACCTGAAATCAACAACGCATTCGAACGAATGTCCAAACAGGCTAACAGCTAGGAACTCCAAAAGAACCTCCCATGGAACAAGTGAACCAAAAAATGCCACAAGCCGACCCAAAACTCGAAGCCCTCTAGCCAAAAACTTGCCGGTAAGCGGCTTGTTTCAAGAGCAATTGTCCACACTAAGACATTTAGCGGACCTGTAAGTGGACAAGAGAACTATTTACAGTAGGTTATTCTAAGTACCCTTGGACCTGCAAGTAAGTTGGAGACCAGCAGCTATCAATCTATCTTTTTATCCATTTATCTGCCTACTTTCTATATGCACATTTCCCAAACGAGGGACCCCACATGTATTGTTCTTAAACACCCCATCTTAAACACCCCATCTACTTGAGTGTGAAAATTACAGCTTAGCATCCTGAAGAGGGCCCACCTCCAAGTATGCCTCAGTCATCTCCACAAATCCCTAGGGTGTTAGGCACCACGTTTGGAGAACCCTGTGAAGACATTTCCCTGTCCCCTCAAACGCCATACACGAAACCTGCTACCCTAAATGCCAAACTTGATATGTCCCTTCAACCCTGTTGAAAGGTCCGTAGAGTGCCACGAATAGAAAATTTGGCTTGGAGTTTGACTTGTTTCGAGCTGAAGCTACCTACAACCTTAAACCTTATATAGAGCCATATGCAAACTATATACTCCCCATGAATCCCCTACAGAACCTCTCTGAAGGGACCCTAGCAAGCCTGCCAGCGCCAGGGCCAGGATGTGAAACGGTGCTGTGGAGCAAAGGAGGCCGAGGGCCTCACGTTACTGGTTCTTAAGGGAATTTTAGGGTTTAGGGTTTAGGGTTTAGAGGATTTTGGCTCAGTGTTAAAAGAAAAAAGTTCCTATAAGGATCAGAAAGGATGAGTTCAAGACCTTTCAAGATTATACGGGACAGTGCCTGAGCGGGAACTGTAGGGGGGAACACAAGGATAAGCAGAACGGATTATTCAAGGGCTGAAAAGAAGTAGGGATTATAAGAGATTATCTGAGGATTCTTGGGGTGTATAGAAGGATTCTAGAGGACTGTGTAAGGATTAGATCGGATGATGCAAGGATGGCAACACAGATCACATACGGAATACAAGGGCTTAGGTTCCTTCAGAACTATCAGGAATGAATGTACTGGACATAAATGAGTATGCAAGGATTGTGAGGGGCTTTACAATGAATGCAGGGGGCTACATAAGAAGTATGAAGGTTAAATCAACACTCCAATGATTTTGCCAGGTGGCTGCACGAATTGTGTAAGGATTATAAAGGACTGTATCAGCGTGATCATGGATTATGAAAAATCGAGGGATTCCAAAACATTATAGGGGCAACGATGACTTTTGTAGGAAGTGTATGGGGCAATGCAAGGATCAAAGGACCCTAAACCTTAAACCCAACGTAGGAAATTGTACGTTGATTACCCGCCACCCTGTAATAAAGTATAGTAGGAATACACGAGGACCCTAATGTAGCCCTTATTGCCCTTATAGTCACTATTACTGGGTGGGAGCCCAGACCCCCTAAAGGATCCAAAAAATGGAACGCCCTAATAGTCCAGTAGTTTCCCCAATGTAGTAATGGGTTCATATTGGGGGGGTTCCATTTTTTGGATCCTTTAAGGGGTCTGGGTTGTAGGGATCCACTCTTCAACTACCCTTTTCGCATTTCCTTGGTAGGGCTGAGGGCTTTATTGGTTTCAGGGCGTAGGATTTATGGGTTCAAGGGTTTAGGGCAGTTTCTTAAGGTTTAAGGATTTGGGACTCAAGGTTCAATGTATGGGCTCGAAGGTTTTCAGACCAAGATTTAAGCGTTCAGGGGTTTAGGTTCCAAGGTTTGGGGATTTCTCGAAATGCGGCGAAGACAGGGGGCATAACGACATTGTCGGGGCACCAATGAGAGGCTCGTACATGTACAGTTCGAGGGGCATCCCTTTGCTATTTGAAGTTTGGGATTTTGGGGCTGCGGGGTTGGGGCTTTGGAATTTCAGGGTTTGGGCTTTGCTGGGGGTGATTAAGAGTTTGGGGTCTGAGGCTTCGGCCTTCGGTTCTGGCCCTTTGGGTTTCATCACTCGCTTGGCACAAGAAAACGTATGAGGGCTTCACTGATTTGGCAAGCTGGGCCTCAAAAGGTACTTACAAATCGAAATTGCGATGGACATAGGTGAGGTCTTCTAAGACGCTGCTGAAAGATGTCCAAACGTGTTATTCACAGCGTTGTCAAATTGGAGGCACATCCAACCAACGTCGGAGGTTTGCTGTTTGCCCCGGACCCAAACCCCCTAAAGGATCCAAAAAAATGGAAGCCCCTAAGAATCTCCTAATTTCCAATGTAGTAATGGGTTCATATTAGGGGGGTTCCGTTTTTTGGATCCTTCCAGGGGGTCTGGGGATGCCGAGCTGCTGAGCATGGGTGTGAGCCCTCGGAGCGGAAGGCTCCAAGCCAAAGACTTTGGTTTCATCGCTCCGGCTAATAGATTATAGAAAATTATGGTAGAGTTTAATATAATTTGGTATGTTATAGCAAAAGTATAAGATAGTATAGTATAGCATAGTATAGTATTCATGGCTCTGGCCTTACTTTGTGCTTTCCCTTATACAACAAGATGCATAAACCCCTCGCCGTGGTGAAAGTGCGCCGCCTTTGTCCCGGTGGCGCCCACCCCCTGCTTTCGGATCTGGATGGCGGCGGCCTGCCGATGAAGGAACAGTTAAGGGTTTAGGGTTTAGTGTTTAGGGTTTAGGGTTTAGGTTTTCGGGTTTAGGGTTTAGGTTAGGGCACTATTAGGGTTATGCTGGGGTTATATTGGGGATATATTGGGGCTGTATTGGGGTAATATCAGGGTTATATTGGGGCCATATTGGGGTTATCTTGGGGTTATATTAGGAGGGTTTAGACTTAAGGGCTTGCCTGCATTCATTTAGGTTTAGGGTTTGGGATTCAGGGGTTGGGGTTAAGGGTAATTCTTCAGCTGATTCTGGACACCTAACTGGAGTTTAATTTGGCAAAGTGAGATGAAAACTGGGATTCTACACGGGGTTCTGTAAAGAACGCATTTGAAGGTCCAGGTGGAAAGATACACCAGTTGCACATGCACTTATCACCCAATTGCAACCATATTTGGGGCTCAGAGGGGTCATATTACAGTGTTTAAACACAGATATAACTGAATCATAAAGTGTGGGCGCATAGGGCTGGCTTAAACACTAAAAAGCATATGCTTCATGACCAGACCTGAACCCAAAAACCAAACCTAGCACAACACGGCAACTAGGTTCGAAGGTTCTGGTAGGGAGGAATGGGCGCTTCCCGAAATGAGGTCCTTTCTTCTGGTCTTTATATATTGAACTCCAATAGTAATGTTGGGGTCACAATGGTAAATGGGTTCATAATAGAGCGAACTTTTGGCTGAACGCATTAATAATGATGGGAACAGATTAGAGCGAACTTTCGCTAAATTGAGAACCGGAATGATCCCCCACACAAGTTTGCCGAAACTTGATTGGGCGTGCCGGACTATTTAGAATCCTCTACTTGTTTGGGGGAGGGGTGGGGGGGTTTAATATTACGACGCACCCTTTAGAACGTCCCCATTGGGAAGCCTCTGTGTGTGATGCTACCATGCTTGAATGCAATATGGGTTGAATGGTGCTACACAATGACTGCACAGGTCATAGGTGCTGCGAAGCAAGGTTGCAACGATCAAATGGGCATGTTCCCGGGCCGAATCCGGATACTCTACCTGAATGAAAAATGTACCCCAAATAATCCTAGTGTCCCAATTGATTTGAAATATCTTCTTCGATTAAGGAAACTTTTTGTAATCCCAGTTTCCATGTCATTATACATTCTCTTTTCCATTTGATTCTCCATTAGTAGTAACTTTTCAGGCCCCTACATCTACATTCCTACATGTAACCCCTACAGAAGCCCAATTCCATGTCATGTGCTGTTCTGTGGTCCATGCGAATCTCCATGATTCCCTGAACCCTACACCCCAAATAGTGTAGAACTTTCGGTTTCATTGTGCGCGGCCTTTGTATTTGATCCTCCATTCATATCCACAAAATCCTGAACCCAGAAGCTTAATTAACGGTGCAACTAGGGCTTGGCTAGGGAGGCTCCACTTGGGGTTCTTGATACACTCTTAGCTTGTGAACGGTTTGTGGACCAGGATCAAGGGTTTGCGGTTTGGTATGGAATGCAAACCCAATATGTATCCGAGTTTGAACAATCAGAGAACCGTCCAGCGCGAAAAGCTGCATGCAAAGAAAAAAGAAAGGAATTTGAAGACTGAATCCAGAGACCGCTACATTGAAGCGAACTGCCTCCGTCTAGAATGTCCAATCTCAACCACTTCCTCCAGCAACTACGGCAAGGAAGCACCTCAGTTAAACCTCTGAAAAGCCTCAACCCTGCTTCAGACCAAATCATAGCTTCGAAAAATATGGGCTATTCTCAAAATTATGGAACCCTTTTGAGCATAGATTATTTTACGGCACCTCATCTAGGGGTACCAAAATGCAGCCCCAATTTTGGAACCCCCCCAAATAATGAACAACCAAGCCCAAAGCCTCGCAGAGCTCTCGCAGGGTGGCGATGCGCTGATGTGTGAGCCGTTGGTCCGTCTGAAAGCAGGCGGCTTCTGACAACTACTGTTGATGTTCAAAGTCCTGCAGGATCTTAGTACACTACATCACTATATTACCATGCTTCCAAAGATTTAGGCTACTTAGGATGGGTTGAAGCTGTCAGGGATCAAGTTTTAGGTTTCCCGGCCGGTCTGGGCTTGAGATGCACTTGCACATGCTTGAAACATTGCTTAACATGAATCATGTCTGATCCAGACTCGGTTCAGATTGCATACGAGAATGCCCCAAGAACTACTAAACCCAAAGCCGGGTAAGAAGTTCTTCAACATCGGCGAAATGTAGAATAAATCCCTGAACCCTGGCCCATTTAAGAATTTGCTTTTGCCCTTGGAGAGATTATTCTCCAACAGCCCAGTGTAGAATGTAGAATTCAAAGCAGCACTGAGCCACAAAGCCCCGTACCCGATACATCAGAAACTCAGGATTTAGGGGGGGTAGGGTTTTAGTGGTTTAGGTCTTTAGGGTTTGGGAGTTTATGGTTGTGGTCTTAGGGCGTAACGGTTTAGGGGTTCAGGGCCCAGCGGTTGAGAGCTCAAGGGTCAGGGGTTTGCGGTTTCATGCCCATCAAGGAAGACGAGTAGCCAAATGTCACCTGAAGAAACAAAAAAACATTAATCCCAGACATCGGGGTTGTGAAAGACTTGATACCTCCACCACCTAGTGTCAGTGCAAGGGCATGGGAGCGAAAACCGAGACTACCAGAATGGAGAAACAAATGGCATATGAAATGGAAGCTTGGGTTCTACAGTAGTTTAGAGGGATTTGGTCTGGGGGATAGTATGCTGGAGGATCTTACCCCTATACTGCTCCAGAAAAACCCTCTTTGAAGAATTTAGACTATAGATCATATTTACTCAATATAGTATCATGTTTGATGGGATGCCCAAAAGCAGCCCCCAACTGTTGGAAAGCCCCATATCCAGAAACAGACTTTTGGACCTGCTCCTCCCTAGTTCCTCTCCAAGACTAAAAAAGAAAAGGAATGGACTTTGAAATTCATGGGTTTTCGCGCTCTTTTCGGGATTTTATACATGGATATATACATATATATATATGTGCATATTTATACATGAATATATATATATATATATTTATATATATGCTCAGTAACCACTCTTTGCTGTTGGGCCTGTGGACTCTCTACTTGGTGGAATTCTGGAAGCACGGGAGCTCAAACCCCCAGCCCCGTAGGCCAAAAGTCTGAAAGCCATATGCTTCAAGCCCGAAGGCTCAAACACTAAATCGCGAGGCTTCGTTTGAAAATGTCCAAGTGATGAGCTCGCTGTCCAGAGGGGGCATAGGCAAAACGAAAAACAACGTATAAAGAGGCCTGATTCTCAAACACCCCACTCACCCTCTTCAGCCTGTAGCTCACTCCGCGCTCTCGAGCAATCATTCAAGCAAAGTCTTCCTCAACCAGCAACCCATGAAAATTCCACTCTAAGATCCTGGCTGTGTTTGGCTGGAACTTCATGACCAGGTCAAAGAATCTCATGATATCACCTGAGAAACCGCTCGACGCTGTGGTATCACCCCTACCACCTAACATTGGGGTATGTACCCTCACAAATCCAAGAAGTTGGAGCTATCAGGACCCATTCAGAAACAGCAAGAATCCTCGCGTTTAGAACTTATTGTTTGAGGGCATCAGACCCCACAGCCCTTCAGGAGATCGTTGTGAAGATTAAAAGTCAGCCTGTCACAGCGAACAGCTGAAGCTGTCACACAAACCTCTCTCTGTGCGACAGCTTCCTACACATATAAACTGAAGTTTGAGCGGTGTACCCCAAACAAAGATTTCGTGAGTTCATGTGTGTGAAAAGGATGCCAGGAGATACATGTAGTCGTCTAAGTTCTCGGCCCAGCGTGGCGCCCTGCAGGACGGGAAAAATATGAGGGCTCAGAGACATGGTGAGGTCGCTGTGGGTGGCCACTTGGTGGGAATCAGACCTGAGCTAGAGTCTACACTCCTTAAGGGTGCGTTATATAAGGGATTTTAATTTTTCCGATGGATACTAGGAGTGTAGTGAAAACTATAGCTCATCTCAGTTGGGGAAGACATTTTCAGGGTTTACAATGCCCTGTTTCCTTGACATACGTCATATACAAAACCATGGGTAAGAACAGACCCCTCTTGGTCTAACAGTCTCGTCGCAAAAGCCCGCTCCAGACTGGTGCAGGCCAACAATGTTAATGACATGCTTGCCTTACTGCTTCTCTGTATGTGTTTGCATTGAGCATGCAAGGAACTTCAGGCTTAGGATGTTGCTCCAGCTGTTCAGTCGATCAGGCTCCAAAATGACAAAGTCCCACGTGCATCTGCAAGGCTTCCACCGGAGAGCCCGAAACTGAGCACGTAAGGATTCCAGGACTAGGCAGCGCATCAACTTGACAACAATTAGACAAAGAGAAATGCGCTGGCTGCAGACATTATTTCTGAAGCCTATACAAGGATGAGGAAGCTTGACCGCGGCTGACCTCTGCTGGACCCCAGCTGGACTGCAACCAGCGCAAGCAAATCTCTATCAGCAGAAAGATGCGGGAACGCCGAGGAAGTCATTGTCAGCCCCCAGTGCCCCTGCAGTCCCAAGCAATCATAAACAAACACCATCTCCAACCAACCAACCAACCAACCAACCACCCAGCCAGCCAACCAACCAGCCAGCCAGCCAACCAACCAACCAACACTCCTTTCAGCCGAGATGTTTTCATACATAAGAAATTGAACAAACACATGCCAATCCATTTTGGAGAACAAGCCTCCCTGAAGAACCCCGTCCCCTCAGAAGTGTAAAGTCCCGCCAACTGAGCTATTGTCAATAGTCTAGACTCCTAGTATCCCCCTTGATAACCCCTATAGTAGTCCTCGATATATTCCCCTGTCCCTTGTATAACCGCCCTTTCAGGAGTTTACATTATGGCTCAAAACATTCCACTCCGCCCCCAGTAACGTAGACCCTCCCAGTGCCCGCGCAACAAGTATGCACAAGGTTCTGGATGTAGGGCTTTCAGGGTCTTGGGCCTCGAGTTAAGGCTACACAACCCAAAACCCTGCACCCTAAACCCTAAACCCTAAACCCTAAACCCCTAGACCCTAAACTCTAAGCCCCTAAACCCGTAAACCCTCCCAGATGAGGATTCGAAGACAGCGCCTTCTTCTCAAGAGAGCCGGACACAGCTGTGATGACCTTGACCTTGGCACCATCAAACACCCCTGTAGTTAGTGAGATTAGCAACATTTAACTCATGTAATCATTCTAATCAAACTTCTAGTAGTAGAAACAATGATAGTAATAGTAATAGTAATAGTAACAGTAATGGTTCAATAGGTTACCCTTCACCCCACACACTAAACCCGAGACCCAAAATCCTGGGTTACCCTGAACCCTAACCCTAGGTTGCACCGAACACCTCTAGGAGGCAGAGCAGTTCGAGGCTTAAAAGCTGGATGCTTCTGATTTGCCGGCTCTTGCCCTCCTTCACTTGGAGGGTCAGGGAAACTTAGGAAGTGGGTTGATAGGGGATAACTGGGGTTACTATATGGCTCCTTGGCCATCATCCTACTGGAGTGTACTTGGAGGGTCAAGGAGACATAGCAAGTTGGTTAATAGGTAGGGCAAGCAGGGTTACTACGTATATGGGTTAGGGGGGTTAGTAACCTACTTGCTGAGTCCCCTGACCTTCCAGCAAATCTGGGGGGAATTGCACAAGCTGTTCTCTATACCTGGAGTTACAGGTTTCTTTAGGGATGGATTCAGGATTTATATTCCCCCTTAAGTAGATACAATATGGCTTTGGGTACATTAGAATAACATCCCCATACACCCCATATTCTTTCTACTTAAGGGGGACAATAGGGCTCGGATGGTTAGGGGGTAGCCTCGGCCCAACCTGACACCTTGTGCAAACACATCAAATTTCAACACACCCTTTCGGAAAAGAAGCTCTAGCTCTGAGCCTCAGCAAAACCTCAATATCCCTAAAATTGAATTCCAACACTTTAGCTTGAGAGAAAGCATGGCCCCAGATCTCAACTGCTAAGTACATGCTTTGCCCAACAGCTCTGCATGCACCTAACAGAGTTGCTGTTGAGGAACTTAATTGAAGTTACTATATTGGGGGAATCATACTAATTACTATATATACCCATTATGGTACCTTAATTCAGGTTCCTTAACAGAAACACAGCTAATTCTAAAAGCCTCTCACCAATCCAAGGCAAGTCCGGTTCTCCCAAGAAGCAAACCCGCCGACGCACCAGATACCAAATGTTCCGCACGTAATAAGACTCCATATTTGGGTCATTCCCCCACCCAGTAACTGTCCTTAAAGGAAGCCTTATTAAGGGGCTATTTTACTTCCTATTACCCCTTGTGGTAACAGTTACTGTAAGGGGGAATAACCCAACTTATCCTTGAAAGAGGCGACAACAAGCCACGCTCAGAAGTGCAAAGAGCCGAACGGACGCTTCTGCATGCCTCATTAGCGTAGGAGGATCTGCGGCCTGCAAAGGATTTGCGTGAGATCCAGGGTTTAGGGTTTAGGGC